CCCCCCCCAATTTTAATTTTTTTAATAAACTAAAAAGGTTGGAATGTTATTCCTTGGAAACTACAGCTCCCAGACTTCCCTTCACCTGGGTGCGCTGGCGCGCCCAGGTGAAGACCATCACTCCCAGATAACCTTGCGCCCGCAGTTAAAAGCGAGCGCTCCACGAGGTTTCGCTCTCTTGGCCCCCCTCTTGCTCCCTTCCCCCCTTGTGTGCCTTGCACGTCCCGCCCTTATCGTGTTCCCCTCTCCCCATTAAACGCACCCACGTGGGAGCTGCGTGTCCGTCTCTTCCTTTGCGTCCGTCTATCCTGTGTTTGTCCACACACCCACGCCGCCCCGCCGCCGTTTTTAAGGAATATTACCGGGGTCTGTGCGTCTCTCCTAAGCAGTGGCATGGACTGTAGCTCTAGTTAACACTAACAGTGGAGTCCCAGTAGCCCAGCTAGTTTAAATTCTTTTAACCTTATTGTTGGGAGATGTGTTCACAGCTCTCGGAGTGCCTCACAGCTGAAACAAAGCTTTGAAAATAACAATGTTAGACTAAGATGTTTTCGTTAAATAACTTTGAGGTGAAAAACCCAAGAAGACAATCTAAAGTTTTAGGCACATCGTTGAGTGAGGAACTCTTTAAGGTCAGGGAACAAGGACAGAGCAGCCCAATTACTACTGGCTGACGTTGCTCGGTTTGGTTGATGGCCAAAGGTGATTAATCCTCATACCCGTTTCTGTCCTCAGTCTCCTGATGTAAAAAACTATTAACGAATGGATGGATATGCACCCTAAAGATGTAAGGTGGAGCTGACTGATTCTTTCTCATATATAAAGTTCAGGTTTCTGATTCCTTTAAGATTCCTTATAAGATCACCTTTCAAGATAAGTAATAAAGTAATTGGCCCTTTCTTTGCAAACTGCAAACTGCAGCCTGCCAGTGAAAGGCCCGACAAGAACACCTTGTTTGCCACGTGGTTAATCTATATCAAGTTGCTTGGGTTTGAATGTATGTAGGTTCTTGGGGGTGATTTGTTTTTCGCTTGTAATACGTAAAATGTTTGTCACGTGGGGGAGATGAAAAGCGTGTTTTTCCCGAAAATCATTCACTTGAGAAATGGAGTGCAGCTGTCCTGACTCTTGTACTGCCTGCAAGAGTCTGTTGGGGAGAGAAGCTGTGACACGTGAGCTAAAGAGAGAAGAAAGAGAGAGAATAACGAAGAGAAAGAATAAAGCAGGAAACCATCAGGGAGTTTGTGAGTGCCTCTTTCCCTGACTCCCCTCAGATAGAAAAGTTTAGCCTCCCCGACTCTGTGAATTCCTACCAAAGCCCTGTGTGGCTGGAGGCTGGCTCCTAGACAGAAATTTTCTTAATCTCTGTCCGCCTTATCTTTGGAGACCAGGTGTCTCACTGAAGCCAGAGCTCACTGACTAACTAGGTTTGTGGCCGTGTGAGCTTCAGGGGTCTGCCTGTCTCCACCTTCCCAGGGTTGGGATGACAGGACCACACCTAGCTAAGTTTATGTGGGTGCTGGGGTCCAAAAAATGGCAAGGACTCTACCAACAGAGCCATCTTCCCATCCCCTAGTATCTAGGCCGCATTTTAACACCATCCCCTAGGTGACTCAGAACACCTGAGCATGTGGGAAAACTGTGACTGGACTCTGGGCCACACTGTTCAGGTGCATTACTGCAGGTGGGGGTGGGGGTAGGGGGTTTCCACGGGCAACCAGAGACTGGTGGGGTTCCTTTCTCCCACCTCTTCTGCTCCATCTGATGCAGCTGTGGAAGGGGATGAGGAAAGCTAACCAGACCCCCCAGGTCAGAGCCATCCTGGTGCAGGGCAAGAAACAGCAATGCGGCTGTCTGTCTGGTAAGGAACTCTGTCTGCTAAGGGCACCTGGCTGGTGGTGAGGACGGTGGTGCCCTTCACATCGAGGCTTCACATGCAGAGAACTTGCCCAGGAGCCAGCTCGTGCCTGGCTGAGCTCATTAAACAGGCCATGGAGCACACCCAACACTTCCTCTCTTTCTCTCTTGATGGTCTCCCTTTCACCATGCAGCTGAGGATGATCTTAAACTTCAAATCCTCCCGCCCCCACCTCCTTAGTGCTGGGATTACAAGCGTGTGCTCAAACGCCCAAGGTTATACAGTGCTGGGGATCACACCCACAGCGTTGTGTATGCCATGAAAGCACTCTGCCGACTGAACTACATCCACAGTCCCTAAGCACACCATCTTCTAAGACAGGGTGAGGGTCAAGGTCTTCAGGAAGAACCCCAGGGCTCACCACACCCTGCAGAAGGGGCATCGTGTGTGAAGCAGATCCGGGCTGCTTGCCAGGATCAGAAGGTTTCAGACAAACACAAGCTTCATCCGTGGTCCCCTGGGGGACCTGGTTTGCATGCTCCCTCATGAGGGCATCATTGCCCAGGCTCTGGGTACCACCAGCCCTAACCCATATATTACTTGAGAATATACACTACAAAACTCAACCAAACACACAGGGTGATTAAAATAAATTTCATTTTGTATCAATATTTTCATTGAGAAATTATACAGGGAAGGCCCATGAGGGCCTTGGGTGTTTTCTTAAATACAAAGTATAAATAACTGTACAGGATGCATGGCTCCTCCTGGTGGTCACTCAAAGTGCTTCGATCAGGAGATTCTTTTTTTTTTTTTCCTTTTTCTTTTTTTGCAGCTCCAAGGGTTCAGGGAAGCATGAGAGGGGAAGCAGAGGTAGAAAGAAGAGGGAGGGAGAGGGAAAGAGAGGTTCAAGCAGTCCACAATGTTACTTGGTAGGGTGTGTTGAAGAGAGTTACAATGTGAAGAACTTGGTGAAAAAGGCCCCTGACCAGCTGGGGAGTTGAGTCCATCACTGACTTCCGTGTAGGAAGCTGTAACTCCTGGGCTGTCAGAACTTTGTGCTTCTGGGCTGCCCCAAGGCGCTGCCCTTTTTCGCCCCGTAGGAGAAGACAGCACCGAAGATATCTTCATGATAACGTTTCTGGCTCTGTGAAATGAAACAGAGGCCAAGGCATCAACTCTCAGTTCCCAGGCTGTATAAAACCCTGGGGCTGCAACAGCTTCCTTGAGACACACTCATTCACTAACCCTGTGCCTTCCTGCTTGCCTGGCTTGCTGCTGTCACACCCAGGTTCGGTTTCTCCTCAGAGCAGTGCGTGGCCCACCTCAGCCTGTTCCCAAACTTCATGGATGGATGGTGGCCCCACTACAGGCTTGGTGTCCATCCCACACAACGCCAGTGGATGTGAGTTTTGAGATTGGCATGCATGCATGCATGCATGCATGCAGCAGGCTGCACGTGCCTCCCTTTCCCCAGGTCTTGAAGTCAGAGCACACAGCAGCAGGCTGAGGGCAAAGCCACCTGTTGCTCTTTATGGACCCGGACGTGTGTTCCAAATGATCTGACCTTGGGAGCTTTTCTCCTTGGTGCTAGAGATTCTGGGGCCTCTCATGTGTGAGGCAAGGACTGAGCTACATCCCCAGCTCTTATTTTCTCTTTTTAATTAAAAAAAAATTATTGATTTCCTGCCTCTGCCTCCTGAGTGCTGGAATTAAAGGCATGCATGTGCCACCGTGTCTGGCTATGATTTTATTTTCGCACATACCCGTGCTTGTGTGTGTGTGTGTGTGTGTGTGTGTGTGTGCGCACGCGCGCGCGTGCGCTTGTATGGTTGTGGCTATATGGCTGTATGTGTACACGAGTGCAATGCCCTCAGAGGCCACAAGAGGGTATCAGATTC